CCCCCCCACCCCCTACCATACAATGCTCAAAGAAACTATTTTTACTGAACTCTACACCTTTATAAGCAAATCAATAATACGAAATAAAAATTGAATCTTTGACATGAAAGTTTCAAGGGTTAATCAAGAATCCTATGAATATATGCATAATAAAGTACATGAATTGAAATTAAAACCAATTTTTTAGTTATTTTTACCTGCCCCGCATAAAATTCCTGCAGGGTTCTTTCCTTGGAGGCATAGCGTTAAGTCCTCTTTTTTGCGTCTTCTCCTTTCTTGACTTGTCAGCTTTGAAATCTTGGGTCTATTTATAAAAAACTTAAAAAAGGAGGTGGGATGGGGTGGGGGGGGAGGGGGCAAGTCTTTTTTTTTTCAATAGAATTTGTTATCATATTTAAGTCCGATTAAATTTTAATCTATGCTAAAAAGTTTCACGTTAAAAATAAAGCATCCTCTAACAAAGAAAATTTTATACCAAACTCAAACCCGAAACCTGTAAAGGATGAAGGACCCTTGATGTTTTTCTCTTTCTATTTTTTTGGAGGCTAATGAGTATTGTTTTTAGTTCCATGTGGAACAATTTTCAATTTATTAAATAATTAATTAATATATGAGATTTTTTTTGTCTATTTATATATTTTATTAATACCTAAATTACCCTCATATGATGAAAACAATTACACACTTAAAATAAGATAAAAATAGTCAAATAATTGTAATGATATATAATTTGTTAAATTTGTAAAGATTTATAAATAGAGAGATAAAAACTATGCATATATCAATTAATTAAAGATTAAGTTTGCTTAGATAGATCAGAGATAGCACAAGAATATAATTGAAATTTGGTGATATTTAAAAATTAAAATACTTTAGAAAATATTTTAAATAATTGATCATTATAGTTTGTACTTTATTCGTTTTATTTTAAATGAATTTATTTTGATTAGAAAATAAATTTTACAAAAAAAAAAAAACGAATAACATCAACTAAGAGACAATCTCACGTAGAAAGTATTTTATAAATCATAAGTTTCTCAAAAAGATAACAAAGAAAGACATAGAAAGATTTTCTCAAACCAAATAAAAATTGACCATCAAGTGTAAAGGCATAAGAGAAAATCTTCCTAAAATTGATCATTATGAATTTTACGACAAATTTAATTGAAAGATTCAATAAAAAGAGATTTTATTAGCTCGTTATTTAAGACGAATTGATAAAATGCAAAATTATTTGACAAGACAAATAAAAAAACTAATTTTAAAAATCATATTCAAATTTATATCCAAAAACCCAATTAATTAGAAGTTCTCAATTTCGAACCATAGGTATGAAGAACATTTCTCGATAGATAACGTTTTCTTCTAATGAATCATAATCACTTCTAACAAATCAAATTTCAATACAAATATCAAATATCGAACATGACACCGAGAGGGTGGTCCTTAATAGTTCATCAAATTATTAGGCCAACTTCCCCCTTTTGAGTTCTTGACGGTTAATCCAACAATTTGCTTTCATTTCCCTCTTCTTGTTTTCTCCGCTCTCTTCTTCCTTTATATATCACACTTCCTCTTCTGAATAATTTCATAAAATCCATCAATTTTTTCTCTGTAATCATGGCTGCATCAGCCTCTTCTTTTGCTGCTAACAAATTCTTGCAGCCCATCAACTCCACCAGATCCATTGACAACAACAACAAAAAGACCCTTTTGGGAAATCAGCTTAAAGACAGCTCCTTTTTTCTTGGATCAGCTAAGAAACTCTATATGAAGAAATCCTTTTCGTCTCAGAACTCGAAAAGCCGATCTAATGGTGTTTTTGCTGTTTCTGAGGTTGTTAAGGACAAGAAGCTCAATACAGACTCCTCACTCTCCAATCTGGTATTTGCATTTTTTGGTTTTTTTCTTAAAAACAGTTTCTTTTTTATAATTGTGTTGTTTAGGCCAGCTTGCGTGCTCCTAAGGCAGATGGGAATGAGATTTTTTTCTAATTTTCATCATATTTAGTGCTTGTATTTGGTTGAAATTCGTCATGTAATTTCTCTATTACCAAAAGAATGACGATTTTGCATTATGATTTTGGTGTGAATTTTGATATGGAGTATAAAACTTATATACCTTAGACCTCTTAGATTGGAAGCATTGTGTGAATTTGGATATTGATTATTGTTTTTGAAACAAGAATTGCATATTTCGCAACTAAGTAAACTAATGCACAACATTTTGTAATTGTTAGAGCGGATAAGAGTCTCACTTTGGTTGGGAAGTGGACATGTGGTTTGTTGATATGGAATTGGGCAACCCTCCCCTCAAGATCTAGCTTTTAGGTTGAGTCAGGCTCATGTGTCATGGTATTAGTGCCACGTCCATCCTTGATTGGGATTCCGGTCCACGTTCTAGTTGGGCCTAGGCATGAGGGGGTGGTGGTGTTAGAGTGGGTTAGAGTTTCACATTGGTTGGGAATAGACAGATGATTTGCTTATATGGACTTAGGCAATCTTTCCCTTAAGAGCTAGGCTATGGGTCTGAGTTAGGCCTAAGTGTCATAAAAAAATATCTAAAAATGTTCCAAAAGTTGTAGTCGAAGAAAAATTGTAATAAGCTCTAACACTAGTAACAGTATTATATAAAATTGGACCAGAGTAGATATTTTTGTATTTGTTTGTGTTAATTCACTCAACTGTAAACAATTCTAGTTTTAATTCAATTTTTTGTTTGTGTTGTCAATCTAGTTAATTACCAAGGATGAAGGGTTGGAGTTGTATGAAGATATGGTTCTTGGAAGAGCCTTTGAGGACATGTGTGCCCAAATGTATTACAGAGGGAAAATGTTTGGTTTTGTGCATTTGTACAACGGCCAAGAGGCAGTCTCTACTGGGTTCATTAGGCTACTGAAGAAGGAGGATTCTGTGGTTAGCACTTATCGTGATCACGTCCATGCATTGAGCAAAGGAGTTCCAGCACGCCAAGTGATGAGTGAGCTCTTTGGGAAGACCACTGGCTGTTGCAGAGGCCAGGGTGGCTCCATGCACATGTTCTCTAAAGAGCACAATGTTCTTGGTGGTTTCGCTTTCATTGGTGAGGGTATCCCTGTGGCAACAGGTGCCGCCTTCACTAGCAAGTATAGAAGGGAGGTCATGAAAGAGGCAGATTGTGATCATGTAACTATGGCCTTCTTTGGTGATGGAACTTGCAACAATGGCCAGTTCTTTGAGTGTTTGAACATGGCTGCTCTGTGGAAATTGCCCATTATATTTGTTGTTGAGAACAATCTGTGGGCAATTGGCATGTCTCACTTGAGATCTACTTCAGATCCTGAAATTTGGAAGAAAGGTCCCGCCTTCGGGATGCCTGGGGTTCACGTTGATGGCATGGATGTGTTGAAGGTGAGGGAGGTAGCAAAGGAAGCTGTTGCCAGAGCTAGGAGGGGCGATGGTCCCACTCTGGTTGAGTGTGAGACTTACCGGTTTAGAGGACACTCTTTGGCCGATCCAGATGAACTTCGTGACCCTGGTGAGAATTCCAATCCCCTTTTGTCTCTATTGTACTTATTTTATATATCCCTAATTCATTCAGCTTTATTTCTTTTTAGTACTGCTGATACTGGTATTAGTAGTACCAGACTCTGGCTTTAGCATATGTTTTAAACTTGTTGAATGTACCAAATATTACATTCTCTTTATATGCTATTAGTCTATCTCATAAAAATCAGGTAGCTTTTCTGTAGTCTTTGTTAAATGTGGTTTCTTTACACTTTTGACCCTTTTCGTGGAAAAAACAAAACAACTAGTTTGGAGTTGAGGCTTTGCTTTTTATTGTTGTTGTTGTTGTGCTGTTTGTAGTTAGAACTAGTGAATAACATGATATCTGCATTTTGATCTATCGGAGAGTGACAAATTGGTTGAAGACTATGGAAATTGTAGTGCTTAAGAAATGTGAGATAATCTGTTATTCCACTGGTAAAGTGTGAGCAATGAACATTTTTCGCCCTTTGATCTTTATTGCTTCCATTTAAGACCAAAACTTTAAGTATGAGTGTCTGAGGTTCACCCCATATTGTATACTGCAGATGAAGTATATAGATTATAGACAACATAAGAATACTATGCACAACAAAATTGCTCTCGTGGACGGAACTCCAGTTTTGAAATGCTATAAATTTTATGACAGCTAATAAGATAATTAGTCTCTGAAATCTATCATTTTTATTGTTGTATATTATTAGCCAATGATTTCTCTTATTTGACCTTAATCTGTTCATCTTGGCAGCTGAAAAGAACCATTATGCTGCACGAGATCCTATCAGTGCCTTGAAGAAGTATATGTTTGAGAACAATCTTGCTAGTGAAGCAGAGTTGAAGGCCATTGATAAGAAGATTGATGAATTGGTTGAAGAAGCTGTCGAGTTTGCAGATGAAAGCCCTCATCCTGTTCGTAGCCAGCTGCTAGAGAACGTCTTTGCTGATCCAAAAGGCTTTGGAATTGGGCCTGATGGAAGGTACAGATGTGAAGATCCCAAGTTCACTGAAGGCACTGCTCATGTCTAGGTCTCAAGGCGCATTCAGTAATCAATGATATCAGGTTTTCAGTTACTGAATTAGTGATTGCCAATTATACTTCTATAAAGGTCTGGAAGTCCTTCGTATTAGGAAGTTTGGTACAAAGGTACTTTATTATTTCAATTTAGGTCAGAATTTTGTCGTCGTTTTTAGTTTCACATTGTTTTCAAGTTGTACCATATCATGAACAACAAAATCTAAAAGGCCTTGCTTTCCTTTTTTTTGCACTTGTATTGCTTCTGAATATCTAGTTTCCTGGCATTCTATCTTTGACCATTTGTTTAGTTTCGTTCAGCTTCTTTGCTGGCCTGAAACTTTGTTCGAACTGAAGTTGATCCATTTTAAACACACAATCTCTTATTTGGTAAAACCAAGTTGTATGGTTATAATAATCTTCTGGCATCCAAGGGTGAGGCTTAGTGGTCAATGAAGTGGGTTGAGAACCATGACAGGTTCAAATCCTAGCAGAGACAAAAAAAAAAAAGCCACTAGGTGATGTGTTCCCATTTGTCTTAACCTTTGGTGGATAGATTTACCTAGTACCTGATGCTGGTGGGAGGTGACAGATATCCCGTGGAATTAGTCGAGGTGCGCACAAACTTGGCCCGATCACCACGGTTATAAAAAAAATCTTTTAAATAACGGTTATGCAGATTGATACCACTACTACTTTGTGGCTTGATTAATATTGTTTACATTAAAGAACTAGCAGACGATACTATATCAGAAATGC